TATGTAGTACACCCGATCGGGTATTCGATCGAGTATGAGGTACTCGATCCCAAATCTTGCCTTTTTACCCAATACCCGACCGAGTAGGACTGTTACTCGATCGGGTACATTAGCCTGGAATTTGGTTTGGTCCATTTTAATCCTCTTTTTGGCATGGATCTGACCGGGTAACTGATGATGACCGATCGGGGGTTTCCCCAGGCCTTGAAAATATTATTTTCCCCTTATTTTCTTTTTGAGAATTTCCTCCCATTCCCCCAAAAGTTGACATTCGAAAACAAAATTTGAAAAGTGCGTACCTTGGCTTGGGTTGCCTCCCAAGAAGCGCCTTAGTTAATGTCGTGGCACGACGCCATAGCTTTGTTCATCCTTCATAGATTGGATCGACGAGATCCATGTATTCAACGTTCTCTTTTTGAAACCCTCAAGAAACGGTTTGAGTTGATGTCCGTTAACCTTGAGGATTTTTCCGGTGTCGAGGTTCTTTATTTCAACCGCTCCGTGGGGGTAGACTTTGATCACCTCGAATGGTCCTTCCCATCGTGATCTCAGTTTACCGGGGAAAAGACGAAGGCGTGAGAGAAAAAGAAGGACCTTGTCTCCGATTTGGAAGTCCTTTCTCATTATCAATTTATCATGCCATACCTTCGTCTTCTCCTTGTAGATGGCGGCGTTCTCATAGGACTCAAGTCGAAGTTCCTCTAGTTCTTGGAGTTGTAGCTTCCTTTGCATCCCTGCTTGCTCCATGTCGAGGTTGAATGTTTTTACCGCCCAATAAGACTTATGTTCGAGTTCGACCGGAAGATGGCAAGCTTTCCTAAACACAAGTCTATAGGGAGACATTCCAATTGGTGTTTTGAAAGCAGTTCTATATGCCCACAAGGCATCATCCATGCGAAGACTCCAATCTTTACGGTTAGGGTTCACCGTCTTTTGGAGTATAGACTTTAACTCCCTGTTCGAGACCTCGGCTTGGCCGTTTGTTTGTGGGTGATAGGCGGTGGAGAGCTTGTGTGTGACGCCATATTTCTTCAACAAGGCACTCACAGTTTTGTTGTGGAAGTGAGTGCCCCTATCACTTATTAAAATGCGCGGGACTCCAAACCTTGAGAAGATGCGGGTTTTGATGAAGTCCGTGACTACTTTGGCGTCATCGGTCTTTGTGGCTTTTGCTTCCACCCATTTTGAGACGTAGTCCACCGCCAAGAGGATGTATAGATTGCCGTGGGAGTTAGGAAAAGGTCCCATGAAATCTATTCCCCAAACATCAAAGATCTCCACATAGAGCATAGGAACTTGTGGCATCTCATGTTTTCGAGAGATGTTGCCCATGCGTTGGCAATTGTCACAAGATTGACAAAAGACATGGGCATCTCGAAATAAGCCTGGCCACCAAAAACCGCACTCAAGTACCTTCATGGCCGTTCGCTTTCCTCCAAAGTGGCCACCACATGCATGTGAGTGACAAAAGGAAAGAATGGAAGCTATCTCCGTCTCGGGAATACACCTTCTAATGACTTGATCTTTGCAATGTTTCCATAAGTATGGTTCATCCCATACGTATTGTTTTGCATCGTGTTGGAGCTTCTCTCTTTGAGCTTTAGAGAAGCTTGGTGGAAACCTGTTTAGAACAAGGAAATTAACAATGTGAGCGTACCAAGGGTGAATTTCCTTAAGAGAAAAAAGAATCTCATCAGGAAATTCCCCTCGGATATCATCTTTGATATGATCATTTCCTTCATCAATGACTAAACGGCTCAAGTGATCGACCACCAAGTTCTCCATGCCTTTCTTGTCCTTGATCTCAACATCAAACTCGCTCAAGAGTAGTATCCACCGAATCAACCTTGGTTTGGCCTCCTTCTTTGTCATTAAGAATCTAAGAGCCGCATGATCGGTGTAAATGATCACTTTGGTTCCAAGTAAGTATGACCTGAATTTTTCAAGTGCGTAGACGACGGCCAACATTTCTTTTTCGGTGGTGGCGTAGTTGCGTTGAGCATCATTGAGAGTGGTGGATGCATAGTAGATCACATGAGATGCCCTTCCCACCTTTTGGCCCAAAACGGCCCCGACCGCATAGTCACTAGCATCACACATGATCTCAAATGGAAGAGACCAATCGGGAGCTTGGATGATAGGTGCGGTTACTAGCTTTTCCTTCAACGTATTGAAGGCCTTCTTGCATTCCTCGGAGAAGATGAATTCCACCTCCTTTTGCAAAAGTGTGCATAAAGGAGATGCAATCTTTGAGAAATCTTTGATGAATCTCCGATAAAAACCTGCATGTCCAAGGAATGATCGTATCTCCCTAACGGTGGTAGGATAAGGGAGTGATTGGATGACTTCAACTTTGGCCTTGTCAACCTCTATCCCTTTGGATGAGATTACATGGCCTAGAACAATTCCTTCCTCCACCATGAAGTGGCATTTTTCAGAATTCAAAACAAGGTTTGATTCTAAACAACTTTTGAGCATAAGCGATAGATGGTATAAGCAAGAATCAAATGAGTCTCCATGGATTGTGAAATCATCCATGAAAACTTCTATAAATAGCTCAACATACTCGGAGAATATGCTCATCATGCATCTTTGGAAGGTGGCGGGTGCGTTGCAAAGTCCGAATGGCATACGTCGATAGGCAAAAGTGCCAAACGGACAAGTGAATGTTGTCTTCTCTTGATCTTCAGGGGCTATGGGCACTTGAAAGTACCCGGAATAGCCATCAAGGAAGCAATAGAATTTATGCCCCGCAAGTCTCTCAAGCATTTGATCAATGAAGGGTAAAGGAAAGAAATCATTTCTAGTTACCGCGTTCAGGCGACGATAATCTATACATACCCTCCATCCATTTTGAATTCGGGTGGGCATAAGTTCTCCATGTTTGTTCTCCACCACCGTGACTCCGGTCTTCTTGGGAACAACTTGGGTTGGACTAACCCACTTGCTATCGGATATGGGGAAGATTATCCCCATTTGGAGAAGCTTGATGACCTCTTTTTTTACCACCTCCATCATAGGTGGGTTCAATCTCCGTTGTGGTTGGCGCACCGGCTTGGCTTCATCCTCCATCAAGATGCGGTGCATGCAAGTAGATGGGCTAATGCCTTTGATGTCGGCTATAGTCCATCCGATTGCAAGCTTGTGCTCTTTAAGCACCGCAATCAACTTTTCTTCTTGATCTTCGGTCAATTTGTTTGAGATTATGACCGGCAATGTTTCTTTTTCTCCTAAAAACACATATTTCAAGTGTTTTGGGAGTGGTTTCATCTCAACATCGGGGGCCTGCAAAATAGAAGGCAAAGGCTTCTCTTCGGGGATGGTTAGTGGAAATAGGGGTGGGCAAACGGGTCTTGGAACCGCGGTCCGGTCCGGGTAATGGCGGTTCGGATCCAAAACGGGCCGGTTCCATTTTTTGTTGCCATAAAACGGTCCGGGTAGGGTCGGGTAATGTTTTTTAAGGAACCGGACCGGTTCCAAAATTAAAAAATAACGGGTACCCGGCCCGGCCCGTTATATATATTGTATATTAATTTATTAATAGTTTTGTGATAATCGGTTTTGAAATAGTTTTGTTTCCTTTGCTAGAAGTAGGATTTTAAATTAAGTTGCAGTAACATCCTTTTGTTTTCAAATTATTGATTAAATGTTTCAGAAATATCTTATTACTTTTTATTGTTATTGAATTATTCCTTTCTATGGAATTTAATTATTTGTTAAAGATGATTTTGTTATATTTTTATTATTATATTGTTATTAAAATATAGAAATTGTGTTTACCACCCACCATGTATGTGTCAACTTTGGCTAATACTGAAAATTTAATATAAAAAAAGCAATCACTTTAATTGTTTGGAACAACTTATATACAAGAAATTATGGAGTATTGGACTTTTCGCTTGTGTTATATGTGCACCACTATGTTGTTATTTTGAAACTTGCTAATGTCCTATATTATTGATTATTGATTTTTGGAACTTCGTGAGTTTTTACTAATTTCAAGACATGAGAATAGAAACCGTAAAACCCGGATCGGACCGACCCGTTTCAAACGGGCCGAGTAATTTCCGGTTCCTATTTTGAAAATTGTAATACCCGGACCGGACTGGACCGTACAATGGAACCGGCGGTTCCATTTTATTTTGCATTACCCGCCCCGACCCGGCCCGTGCCCAGCCCTAAGTGGAAATGCTCTTGACCCCGGTGGCATGAGTGGAAGTTGGAAGTGATTATCCAATTCCACCATCATGGCTTGCATATTGGGAGTCAAGGTAAGTCCTAAAGAATTTTCCCCGAAATCATTTTCAATCACGCTCAATAATTCGTCCTCTCCATTTATTTCAAAAGTATCTTGTACAAGAGGATCAATAATATCAATGGCAAATAGAGAATGATTTTCATTTGGGTATTTCATGGAGTCATAAATGTTGAATTCAACTTTATCTCCATCAAATTCCATTGTTAAAGATCCGCTAAAAACATCAATTTTAGCTCTAGCGGTCTTTAGAAATGGCCTTCCTAAAAGGATAGGAACTGCATTCTTATCATTTTCCATTTCCAAAACATAAAAGTCGGCGGGAAAGATCAAATTGTCTACCATAACTAGTACATCTTCGACAATACCCTTAGGGTAGGCGTTTGATCTATCCGCAAGTTGGATAACCACTCCGGTTTCGTTTAAAGGACCAAGCTCAAGTGATTTATACAAAGAATAAGGAATAACATTGATTGATGCTCCTAAATCTAGCATGGCCTTTGAAAATGTAGTGCCGCCCAACTTACAAGGTATAGTGAACATTCCGGGGTCATTGTATTTTTTTGGAAGTTTCTTTTGAAAGACCGCGGAAACACGTTCACTAACTTGGACTTTTTGTTTTCCATTGAGTCTATGTTTTCTTTTTATTGTACAAAGCTCTTTGAAAAATTTTGCAAATCTAGGGACACCTTTGTTGGTCCCTATTTCTACTCTATAATGTATAAGATCTGATTAATAGGAGTAGAAGAAGCTTTCCATTGATAGCCAGAAAGTTTACATAAAGATGAAGAACATGTAGCGTAAAACTTCCGTAGGCTCTATTCTATGCGCAGGGAATTTTTCTGAGTGAGGAAAGCTTAACCTACTCATTCTCCAAAGGGGCATATTTATAGCCTTGGAGAATGGTAGGTTAACAAATGATTGGGCTCCAACTTTTAGGAGGCCCATTCCTATTTAGGCAAGCATGCCTTTACCAAATAAGACCTAATTAAATATTCTAGCTACTACTACAAAGGCTAGATAAAACATTGATCACAATACATGAAAATATCTCTAACAATCTCCCCCTTTGTGATCAGGTGTTCTTTTTCGGCTCTTGTGGATCCTTCTGCCTCTTGTAGTAGTTGCTTCGCAGTGCTAGAGTGTTTGTATCTAGCACCGCCTTTAGTCGGTCAAATTTTTCAGTTCAGCTTCTTTTCTCTTCTTGGAAAGGCTTTATGAAGAAATCCTTACAATCTTCCCTTTGGTGTTGTTTATTCAATTTGTTCTTTGATGCCGGGGGTTGAGGGATTCTTCAAAATCTTGCTTTTAATCCTTGCCTTTCAGAAGTTTCTCTTGATCAGCTTGAATGAATCCGATGGCGCCTTTAGAATGATTGATCTAAAGAGATCTAGGCGCACAAGGAATTCATCTTCAATATTTGATCATCCGGCCTCTGTATCCTCCAGAATGTAGCCTTTTCTGACTATTCAGTCGTGAATGCTTTTGAGAAACAATTGTCGGTAGCACAGCGGAAAATGATGGTTGACTTATGAGCATATCTGAAGCCGACTTGGCAGTTGATGAATCTGAAAGAGTGGAAAGCCGTCATTTTTTTTAGCGGAGGAGAGAAGTGTCCGGGAATGATTTTTGAGTGTAAACAACATGTGGACCACTCTCTCCCTCATGACGATTCCATGAATCGGGATATCATGCCTTTATTCTTTTATTCATCTGGAAAAAATGGAAAATGAAAAAATGAAAGGATAAGGATCGGAGACACTGTGGTGTTCCGTTAACACAACATCAATGTAAACACTGATGTGTGGCCTGTATATAATGATAGAAACGTTGTAGCTCTAACAGGACTTCCAACCAATCATTGTGAAACATCTGAAGTAGATGTCACTCTGGTCGTTATGGCATGATCACTAGGATCAGCATGGATAATTGTAGCCCCCCGGGATCATGTAGACACCCGTTATCATCACTATAGAGATGAACTCTAAATGATGGCCTGAAAATGTTGGTGATTTCTATGTTGCAACATCAGGACTTCCATCCAATCATCGGTCTGCATCTATAGAAGATGAGCCTATGGAAGTTCTCGCATGGTCACTTGGACCTGCAACTGACTCTAAAAATGTGTCTGTGTCCTAGAAAATTCAAAACATTTAGGAGTGAGATAACTAGACACAACGTGATCAATGAAAGTTCAGTGGCATGGGGCTGAGGGCCACTGTAGTCAGTATCAGTCGCCTCAGAAGGAGACGGTGATAAGAGATGAGGTTCCCCGTGAACAGTGATTAAACACATGTCTGTTGGGAGACAAGTGAGTGGTCTAGGGTAGGGTTGTGCACGCGCTGTTTGGACAAAATGCAACGACTTCTACCCGGGATCTGAATAAATTCAGTCCTGAACCTATGGGAATTGTCCGGAGTATTTGAGTGACTGGGATTGATTCCTCGATTGATAGCTCATTTGAGGTAGCAGATTTATCATTGATTATTGTCTTCTTGCTCATCGGAGCCTTCTGCTTCCTCACTCTCATAATATTCACTCATTCACTCACTTTTAGCTTTGTCCCTTGGGTAGGCTTAGTTGGGTTTACTAAGCCATTGGGACTTATCTCTCATTGATCTTGTTTATTTTCTCTCTGTGCTCCCCCTCAACTGGAGAACTCGGTATGCTTTGTCATTGTTCGTCACCGGGAGGAGAAAATAGAACCCCCCTTAAAAAAATGTGCATCCTTGAGAGAAACCTTGCATTTATCCGTATTTCACGCAGCTCAACCTCCTGAGTGGTATGGCTTTTGGGTTGGCTAGATGATTGGGGTTGTTGGTTGTTAGAGGATTCAGGTTGTGGTTGTTGGCTAGTTGACGCAACACGCTCAAGTGTCCGCTGTCTCTTGTTCTCCCCCTCATGAGGATCCAAATCATTAGGGTCCTCATGCGAACGTTTGTGACCGCGGAGACTGTCATTGCATGTGCTGTCGGTTTCTTGCTAGCATAATAGATTGGAGTTCCTCGAAAACCATAGTGCATGGATTAGGGTAGGGTGTGGTCGATATAGGGGAGGACACTAGTTTTGTATCCTGGGTTCCCCTTGAGGTGGTAGGAGTGGTAGGTTGTGTGGTGGAGGGTTCAGAATTTTGACGTGTAAGGAAAGGGGTAAGTTGTTGTTGTTTAGAGTGTGAGGATGATGGTTGAGGTTGGATGATGTCGTTAAACAGCGTCGGGGTGTTCGTGAATTCCTGTGCCCGAGCGGTTATTGCTTCGTGCACCCATGGCTTAATGGTGGAATCCATGAAACGCTGCAAAATGACTAAAAGGTCGGTAGGGTCAGGGTTTCCGGTTACAGGGGTAGTAACCGTTGTCACAACATCAGTAAAAATTACCGATGTGTGGCCTGCAATTAATGATTGAGTTATCTGTTGAGCAGCAGGACTTCCGATCATCATCGACTTATCTCCGATCGTTGATGACAGGTAAAGTGGACCTGTAGATGTGGTTGTGTGAGGAGTGTATGTCCTAGAAAAGTTGAAAATGTAGGGAGTGTGACACCTAGACTCAATGTGATTGAAGAAGGGGTAGTGGCCCGGGGTGATAGACCACTATATATGTCCTCAACTGCTCCGTAAGAGGGCAGAGAGGTGGGTATAAGATCCCCTATTTGTGAAACTACTACCTGTTGGGAGGCAGCAGAGTGGCTAGGTGTGGCTTGTGCATGCGCAGTTGGACAAGATGCTGCGTCTTCTACTCGGAAGCTGAGAAAGTCAGCTTCTGCTCCTATGGGGTCAGTCCGGTTTACTACATCTAGGTTTGTACACTCGTCAAACAGGGCTATTTCTTTTGCCAGATTGCTCACGGTTTGCACTCTTTGCACAGGAGTAGATGATGAGACATGGTCATGGCGCACCTTGGAGCGAGTCTCACTGATGATATTTCCTTGAGTGTCCTTGATTTGGTGAGACTGCTCTTGTGTTGTAGCCCGAGAAAGCCTGATAACGAGTCGTCCTTTCTTAGCGCGTGCTTTCTCGACTTTCTTGCCCTTTGCATTGGCGTTGTCGTCGTCCTCATCATCATCATCGTCGTCGTTCCTAGCCTTGCTCCCAGAGCCCTCATCGTCAGCGTCTTGTGTTGTGGCTACGCTTGGCGAATCATGGGTAAACTCTTCAGCACGGGGGTGGCCCTCAGCAGACGTAGTCTGATCATCATGGGGCCGGCTTGCCACTGGTCTCTGTGGTCGGGTTGAACTCTCAGGACCCTCACTATCTCTCGGCTGACTCCCTTGGGTAGGCTCAGGGGGGGTTATCTGAGCCATAGGGAGTATAATATTGTTCTCCTGGCAGTAACATTTGACTGATGGATCATTTGGAGCGGCTAGCTGCAGCAGAGACACTGGTAGTGGAAGTGACACCAGTGAGGAATCATCCTTGACCTTTGAAGGTACGTGATGGCTGGGGTGGCAACGTTCTCAGTGGATAGTTGGCGGTGAATTGTTGGTGTTGTTCCGCTGAAACGTCTCACGAGCATTGACAATCTTCTCATATATGGCATCAACTATGTGATGTCATCCCAAATCAGCGAGACATAGTCGTAGTTCTTGCAGAATGCCACGCCGTGAAAGATGGTCAAAATGTAGATGCTGCACTTATCGAAGCCAGTGTTTTTGGCAGTGCAACACTTAATTAGTGTAGTCATCAGAGTCTTCTATGGCCGTGGTAGTCTTCCGGGCTTGACCTGGGAGATGAGCTTGATTGCTTGTGCATGGCATAATGTGATCATGTCTTCCATGATGTCTTCTATGTTGGCCAGTTCATAGTATTCATCTTCCAATTATCAGCTCTGGCGGATGTGCTCTCGTCCACTTTCTCTCATGATTGGATGATCTGGGTCAGTGTAATCTTGATTCGGTTGTGCCTCTGGGGTCTCTTGCGTTGCAGTTACTTCAGGCTGATCATATTGCGGGGTAGATGGTTCATGTTCACCCCTTCATCATCTGAGTGCTCATCATTATTCTGAGCGGGAGTGAGTATTTCCTCTGCGGTGGGAGCATATAACAGGAAGGTCTGAGAATTTGTAGTGGTTGTAGCTGGTGATGCACGTGGTTGACTATAAAAGTGCTCGAACAGAGAATCTAGTACCACGTGCTCATCCGATCTTGTCTCGTCTCCCTGTCCTCCTACTTCAGAAGATGATTGAGCCTCTTTGTCTTCAGTTGCTTTCGGATCAAGTTGTCCCCTAGCATCCTTGTTGTTCATAATGTAGCACTTGTAGCGGAAGATGCGGAAGAAGGCAATGTTAGAGAGTCTGTCCAATCGTTTGTGAATCGCCATCCAGTTCTGTGTGAAGCAAGCCGTGTTGATAGCTTCAGCCCACATGAAATGAGGAAGCTTTTGACTGTATCAGCATGGTTCTGGCTGCTTCCACCAAGATCCTATTTCTTCGTTCTACGACCCCGTTATGCTATGGTGTTTTGGCTGTAGAGAACTGTTATATAATTCCCTGAGATTCGTAGAACTCGGTCAGCTCCTTGTTCTTGAACTCCGTTCCATTATCAGTTCTAGTGTTTAGAGAACTTGATGCATGAACTTTTTTGGTGTTGGTCGCCTTGGTGTCGTCAATGGTGTCTTTCAGTATTCTCGGACCAGCGGTATCTCTTGCTTAGTTGAGTGTTCCTCAGAATTGTTGGAGATACACCCCTGGTGCTTCGACAATTTTTGTTTAGGGCCTTCTAAATTTTGCGGCCTTTGAGAACAACCACCACGACATCCTTGAGTTGTCTTGATTGCTACTGGTTCTGCCATAACGTCCTTGGGTTGTCTTGCATTGATCCTTGATTTGCGTCAGGAGGAGAAAATTGTAACTCCCCCTCAGAATGTGCAAGGTGTTATTTGTCACCCGGGAGTAAAGTAGAAAACTCTCCCTTGATATGTGCTTTCTTCGTTGTAAGGCACCAGGAGGAGTGAAAAAGAAACACTCCCCCTCAGAATAAGCACTTGTTGTTTCTTCTTGGCATGTGTTGGTGTTGAGGTGTGCATTTGTTGATTTTCTGCTCAGTGGGGTAGTATACATGCCAATACTCCCTTTAATAATGTGCACCAATTGATTGCTCACAGCTCTTCTCACCCGCCATGTGTGTGGAGCAATCGGATCAGGTACCACACATGACGGACCTGCAAAATAGATTAAGTGCGTTTTGGTACCCACCTCCAGATGGGTCCATCCTTATTAGTGGTGAAGAAATGTTTCAGCTTTTGTTTTGTTTGGGAACCTAAGCCAGCTGATTGAGAAGTGTTTGACGTTCTTAATTTCTCAGCTTCGGCCTTAGGAACCCACTGTTTTCTAAGCTTAGGAGCGAGGGAGGTTTCATTAACAATGAGTGAATGTTCAGACAGATGATCTTTTAAAATTGTTTCATGAGAGAGTCTTCTCAAATGTTTGAGTGAACGAACCTTGAGGGGATACCTTAAACATGGTAATCTGTACTCCCCCTCAACGTTCACTTTCACAGAAGTTGATTTCTTTGGGCATCTCTGAACGTTCACATTCTTGTCTTTGTTTGATGAGGAATCAGACTCAAACCAACATTTCATGGATTTAATGCAATTCAGAGAAGCACAACTAGAACAGTGATTCGTGACAGATGTCTTAGAACTAGAAAACTTAGGAGCCACTCTTTTAGCATTACTAGTCGAGGGTTCGCTTAGGAGATTCCTAGGAACACCACTTCTAGTATTACTAGTTGAAAGCTCACTAATGCCAGATCTAGACTTATTCTTTACGTAAAACAAAGCACTCGAACGTCGATTCTTATTTCCTAGATGAGATTCTTCTTCTTTCTTTCTCCTTCTTAACTTCTCCTCGATCCACTCTCCTCTCTTCTCAACTCTCTTCTTCACATGGTTTCTGGTCTGAGAAGGAGGTTCAGAGTGAGTGGAAGAAGTTTTAGAACTATTGGTTGAATTTTCTAAACATTTTTCTGAGGAACAGAGGGAAGAGGGTTGAGAAACTGTGATGGACTGAGAGGATGTTTTTAACAAGGATATTTCTTTCAAAAGTTGATCCTTTTCTTTTTCTAAAACCTGTTTCTCCTTTTCAAAAGATTCTTTTAGTTCAGCAAACTTTCTCACAAGAGGTGGAATGTATGCTGGTTTGACTACAGGTTCTGAAGTTGAAGGTTCCTCTCCATCTTGCACAGTTTCCTTTTCAGGAGCATAAGTTATGACTTCATCAGCAGGTGTTAGCGGGGGTTCTTTGGTTTTGTAACTCTTGTTCAACTCTGTGTAGTCAAAAGGAACCTCGACACCAGCCTTTGTCTTTCTCTTTTCGTCCTCGAGGGCATTCGTTTCTTCAGCTCCAGTGAAGGCCATGAGTTTGGTCAATCCTATTTTCATGTATCTAACATCATAGAGTTGTCTACAGTTGACCTTTTTCAGGTTCTGAGGATTGGTCAAACCCAAGCCTTCTTTGGCGTTATAGAAACGAGTGTCCTTAGGCTGGTTAAGGAAAATAGTCTAATCTGTTTGGTCCCTTTTGGCTAACAGATCCTCAAGTTCTTTGATCTTAGTATAAAGGGCACCCCTTCTTTCCATCAGCAAGTTATTGACACCAAAAAGTCTAATTCTTTCTTTTTCAGTTGTTCTAAGCTTCTCTGTCAACTCTTTCTCACTAGCACTAAGTCGCTTATTCTCAGTTGTGAGCTTAGTGATTGTTTTCTCTGAATTGATTATCTTAATGTTTGAGCATGTCTGTTTTTCACGCAGTTGATTATATACCTCATACAACCTTTTGTAATTCACCTCTAGCTCCTTAAATTTATCATGCATATCAGTTTTTGAGCAAGAACAAGTATAAACAGAAGGATTAGAAGTACTTACAGCGCTGTTTGCATTCTTGTTTTCAGCAGAGAGGGCAGTCACTTTATCAGCAATATTGGGAGTGGTCATGATTGACTGTTGAAAATTGATCGTTGACGTGTGGTTGATTGAAGTTTTCTGCAAGTTTGTGACTCTTGAAATGTAGCTTTGATTTTGAGAAAATTTAGTCTTAACCTTGAGTTTTTTTTTTTAATTTTTAATTTTTAATTAATTTTTTTTTTTTATAAAACTCAAGGTTGACTATTTGAAGCTTTGAAAAAGTGTTGAGCTTTGGTTTTGGAGTTTGACCTCAAGGTTTGAAGATGGGTTAAAAATTAGCACTTGAGGTGGGTTTTGAGAAAAAAATGTACTTGTCCAAGTGAAGGAAAAAGTAAGCTTGTTAACTTATCCCACACCTAAAACCCTTGGAAACTTTAGAGCCTATTTATATGGAACACTCCTTCCTTAAGATTAAATGGTGAAGGAAAAGAGAGGAGCTCTCGCGCACATGGGATTTCGGCTTGTAGTTCAAAAACGAAAAATTCGCACCCCCCCTGCGCGGGCGACCTGCGGACACGATAGTCGCAAAATTCGCCGGGTCTCAAAAGACGATTTTGTCCTTTTCGTTTTTTTTTCTTTTAAGACAAAATGAAAGGGAGCACTAGCTGATCGCGCAACTCAGATCGCGCAAATGTAGCGGAATCGCGCACCCAGGGATGGAACGCGCAACAAGTAAATATCGCGCACCCGGGATGGATCGCGCAACACAGGTTCGCCTCTTTTCGCGCAACTTGCTTCGCGCAAAGGGAGATGAAATCGCGCACAAAGGCGGGATGAATCGCGCAGGGATGAAGGGATGATCTCTCGCACCTACAAAAATAGCGCACAACAACACACAAGATCGCAATAGTTTTTAATCGCTCAAGTGTAATCGCGCGCTCAAGTCTTAAAATCGCTCAAGTAGAAAAATGGCTCAAGTACAGGATCGCTCAAGTCCTGTAAATCGCTCAAGGAGTAATCGCGCAAGGCCTGTTCTCTTCTTGGAGAAGTTGCGCGAAGAAGCAGGATCGCTCAACTTTTAGGATCGCTCAAGTCCAAAATCGGGCAAGCTGAGTTGCGCGAAAGTGGAAATCGGGCAGGAGCTGCTTTTGCGCGAAACCTGTTCTTCTTCCCTAGGAGTTGCGCTAAACTGCAGGATTGCTCAAATCTGGCTTAACCTGTACGCCAAATTTCAGATCGAGATTTTTCACAGAAGTGATCCCAGCAAGCCTAGAAACACTTTCCTTCAACCATTTTCTTGCAAAAACAACAATAAAAATAGAACAGAAGATCGCTCAAGTGCGAAACTTCAACGATGAAGAATCGCGCAGGAGTGATTTTCAGCCTTCAATCGATCGATAAATTTGCAGAAACTTCAATCGGTCACACGCTCGTCTCTGATACCAATTGTTGGTCCCTATTTCTACTCTATAATGTATAAGATCTGATTAATAGGAGTAGAAGAAGCTTTCCATTGATAGCCAGAAAGTTTACATAAAGATGAAGAACATGTAGCGTAAAACTTCCGTAGGCTCTATTCTATGCGCAGGGAATTTTTCTGAGTGAGGAAAGCTTAACCTACTCATTCTCCAAAGGGGCATATTTATAGCCTTGGAGAATGGTAGGTTAACAAATGATTGGGCTCCAACTTTTAGGAGGCCCATTCCTATTTAGGCAAGCATGCCTTTACCAAATAAGACCTAATTAAATATTCTAGCTACTACTACAAAGGCTAGATAAAACATTGATCACAATACATGAAAATATCTCTAACAACCTTTTATTAAGTTCAGGAGGGGAATATTTACCTCACATTTGGAGAAAGTCTCATAGATATCTTTGTCTTTCTCCACCTTCTGTGTTTCCCTCAGAGCTTCGGGAAACAGGGCTTCAACTTCTTGGATGGCCGGTGGTGGAGTCGGCATGTGAACCTCCTCCTCTTCCGGTTGAGCTTTGTCCACAATCTCCTCTTCTTCTTCCTCGCCAATGTGGCTTTTGGCTTTCTCCTTGGCAATCACCAACTCTTTGCCACTCCTTAATGTCACCGCATGGGCTTGTTGCCTAGGATTCGGCTCCGTTTGAGATGGAAGCTTTGTTGAATCCTTGGCTTCAAGCCTACTCACTGCACTTGAGATTTGGCTCATTTGATTCTCAAGGTTTTGGATGCTTGATTTTGTCTCATGTTGGAACTGAACCATGTTTTGTTGCATGGTTGAGACATTTGAGGTGAGTGCTCGGATCATGTCTTCGGTGGACATAGTTGAGCCTTGGCCTTGGGGTTTTGAGTACGGTTGCTTTTGAGGAAATTGGTTTTGTGGAGGATTATTTTGTGGTGGGTTTCCTTGCGGATTCCCATATCTCAAATTGGGGTGATCTCTAAACCCGGGATGATAAGTATTTCCATAAGAATCGTACCTCTTTTGGTTGGGGAACCCCAAGGCATTGACCTGCTCGGAGTTGTCTTCTTGTAGAGTTGGGCATGAGTCGGTTGGATGCCCTTGCTGTGTGCAAATGCCGCAGACCTTGACTTCTTGGGTTTTGGAATTTAAAAGGAAATCCTTAACCAAAGAAGTCAAGCCGGCAACTTGACTTTCCAACGAGGTGTTGGACTCTGCTGCCATCACTCGTTTTTTCGATGACCTCCCGCTATAGTGTCTCGAGTTTTCGGCAAACTCCGAGATGAGGTCTCTTGCTTGGGAAGGTGTTTTGTTGACGATTCCTCCCCCACATGCGGCGTTGATCATTCGTCTATCATCATTGCAAAGACCATCATAAAAGTATAGGATGAGGTCTTGCTCCGAATAGCCGTGGTATGGACAGCTTGCACAAAGCTTTTTGAACCGTTCCCAATATTCATAGAACGATTCATCATCATTTTGCTCCACATTGCTAATTTGTTTCTTTAGAGATGAGGAGACGGATGCGGGATAGTACCTCTCGAGAAAAGCTTTCTTCATGGCCGCCCATGTGCCTATACTTCCCGAGGGTCCCGAGGGAAGATAGAATAACCAATCCTTTGCGGTGTCTTTGAGGGAGAATGGAAAAGCCCTCAACTTGATTTGCTCCTCGGTAACTCCGTTGGGGCACATGCTTGTGCAAACAACATGGAATTCCGAGAGATGCTTATTTGGATCCTCCCCTCTTAAGCCATGGAAGGAAGGAAGAAGATGAATAAGCCCCGATTTGAGCTCAAATGTATTACCCTCATCAAGAGTGGGGAAGGTAATACACAATGGTTGTTGATTCAGGTTTGGAGCCGTGAGCTCCCTCAGTGTTCTTGTTTCTTGAGCTGATGTGAGTTTTCTCGCACTTAAAATAGATCGTAATATAGTGGTGTAAGTACGAGTATCGTCTCCACAGGGACGGACAAAAGGGAATTAAGAATTAACTAAATTCAGCGATTAAAAATAAATAAAATAAATGCGTCGTGCGAGATTGGTTGGTTTGGAAAATAAAACTGATGCGAACAATTAAACTAGGGGGTTCTTTCTAATTAATGACGAAGGGAACAGGGATCGATTCCGGGGTAACCAGATTTCTGGCAGATCAGGCCTAATTACATGAAATTAATTTAATTGAGCCTAGCTAATCATTACTAAGTTCTTACCGCTCTCGCGGCGTAGAGTACAATAATTTAGGGGACCAGGCTGATCTCTCATGCGACAGGATCCTAAATTATTGCTAAGACGAGCGAGCTTACGGCCCCTTAATCGCTACTAATCTCTTAGCGAACGATTAAGTGTGTGTGAATGTGTCCTAGAACAAATTAGATCTCTCTTAATTTATTCTACATGCAATTGTAATTCTAGTCGCGATTCTAGGTTACAAAAGATATCAATTAAATTATTCAAACACAAATTAAACGGCATTCATGCAATTAAACCGAAAAGAATCTAGCCATACATCATGATTAACCCCTTCATCAATCCCAAATCCCTAATTAAAACTACTCACAATTCATAATTGAAGAATCAATAGAATTGGAATAAAAAGAATTAATTGTCATTAATTAAAAAGGTGGAACTTACAAAGAATCCCAAAAGATTGATGAACAAGGCTGAAAAGCCCTCAAAAATTCGTGCTAGGCACTCTTGATAAGTCCATTTTTGTACTTATTTTTCTTATCAAATTTAAGCGATTTTTGAATAAAAATAGAAAGAAAAGGCATGTTTTAGATATTTTGGTTCGAGTTTCATGAAATCAGGTAAAAATCACATCCATAATATGTTTAGCGGGATTTCGGGTCAATTGAGCACAAAATGAGCCAATTTGGACAACAAATGATATCATACCAAAAGAAGGAAACATTATTTCAAAGTGGTCCAGAAGACAATATTGAAGAGCACAAAACAAGGAACAAGCCGGACAAAGAATCTCATAGGCGCCCAAACAGGCGGCCAAAACGAAGGCCTTCGCGGCCGCCTACGGTATTTTTGGAAAGTCAAACTTTGACTTTGACCGGATTCGGAAAAGACCGTAGGCCGCCGACACTGGACGGAAGGCGGCCGCCTACGGTGACCGCCTGCGGCAGAAGACGACGAAGCAACCACCGGCCGGTGGGATTTGACGGCAGGCGGCCAGACAGGAACGGCAGGCGGCCGCCTGCTGGACCGCCTGCGGCGGCCGGGATCCGCCGGGATCCGCCGGGATCCGATTTGACAGTGAAAAGACGGCAGGCGGCCGATGGGTGACGGAAGGCGGCCGCCCTCTGTGGCCGCCTACGGCTGACGGAGACCAGCCCACGTGTCGTTGCCAGCGAGCTGACGGCAGGCGGCCAGTTGCTGCCGGAAGGCGGCCGCCTGCCCGGGCGCCTTCGGGGAAATTTTTCCTATAAATTTCCCGATTTTTCCTCAACTCAAAAACACCTCTTCCAACCCTAAATCAGTTCAAAACACCTTCTTTCTTCCTCCATTTTCGAGCTCCAAAGGGTTTAGAGAGAGAGAAACTTCAAATCTTCATATCTTCTTCATTTTAGCTCCAAATTGTAAGTTCTTTATATGTATTTTCATCTTCTCAACGAGTAGAATCTGAATCTGCACTTTGTTTGTTCAATCTGTTCTTCGAAAATTTCCAGATTATTTTTCAAGTATTTCGCATTTCCTTCCAAAAATTAAATAAAATAGTTATTGTTGTTGAATTCATTCCAATTAATTATATAGTTGTTCACTAGCCTCAAGGTAGTTATTTATCTGAAGAAATTAATTTTTCACGAAGCATAAGTAATTTTTAATTAATTTTGGTAATTAATTGATATTAGTTCATAATTTAGATTAAATACTAGAAAAAAAGAAAAAAAAATGAGTCCGGCCCTATTTACAGTTTAATTAACTTAAGTATCATTACTAGTAGTTAATATAAAATTTGGTACGAATTTAGAGTTTTTTTATTAATTTCGGTAATTACTTTATATTATTGCTTAAGTCAAAATAAATACTAAAAAAGAAAAAAAAATTAGTTCGGCCTTAATTTCAGTTTGATTCATAGTAATATCACTCCCAGTAGCTAAAATAAAATTTATAACGAAGTTAGCATATTTTTAGTTGCTTTTTGCATTTTCTAGTTAAAATTGGGAAAGTTATCAATTAGTTATCAAAAATTGGATTTTAGGTTCAAAAATTTGTGAAAAATTCCAGAAAGTTATATTTTAGTTCCTACAAGTTTATTGTTCCAGAATATAATTTTTGTTTAATGTTTGCTATCATACATGTTTAATTCCTTGTTAATGTTGAATTTAATCATTATATTGTTAATTGCAAAAATGGTGATGAGTAGCTAAATTTGTTAGGGCATGAATTGAGAAAAGGAATATGGATTGACTTGTTGACCTAAAATTAGGGGTTAAAATTAATAAATTGGACTAGTTGTTTGAAATGATGAAATAGTAATTAATAATAGTTAGCCATTTTCATTAATTAAATTCTTGGAAAATTAATTCTAACTTGTCTATGAGATTAGAAATTAATTTAAGCCAACCATATTTGAGCACATTAATAAGGCCTAGAAATAGGATAATTTAATGAAAAGGATTTACATCTTGTCTATGAGAAATAAATTCAATTGCTAAAATAAAGAGTTTAACTAGTTAATGAATTTGGCTATTTTTATTAATTAAAATATTGGAAAATTATTTCTACCTTGTCTATGGGTTTAGAAAATAATTTAAGCCAACCATTTTAAACACATTAATGATACCTAGAAATAGGATAAATTAATGAAGATAGTTTCTATTCTTGTCTATGAGGAAAGAAATTATTAGTCCAACTTTAGTCTTAATTTCCCTAATTAAGAGGTCCAAGAACATATCCATTTCTAATTACTCAATTCATTGCCCTTATTTGCATCCTTGCATATTCAATCTTTATACATTAATCTTTAAATCGCACTTTGCTCCTAGTTATAATTTAGCATAATATAGAACAAAATCACTTTCCTATATTGAAAAAGCTTCCAACGATTAGCGATAGCCCGTGACTAAAATTAAATTAAGAAACTTCTCCGCCATTCCTCAAGAGACACGACACTCGGGGAAAAACCGAAAGGTTATACTCCGTTTTACTACAACGCCGCGAAAGCGGTTATCAAATGGCGCCGTTGCCGGGGAATGGCACGATTAATTCTTGATTTAGTTCTAGCATAGGTGAATTCTAGTTAGGGAGACTTTTTCGCCCTTGCGACAATTTGTATAAAGATTTCAGGATAAATGAATGCACACCCGCTCTAAAGGAGTGGAAGGTCTAATTGAACTTGATCCTGAACCTGAACGAACTTTGTGGAAAAATCTTTCAATCCACAAGAAACCAAGCATGGCGGGAGAAAGGACGGTGTTGCAAAATCTTACGCCAAACTTCATCGAGGATGATAGTATCAGCGCACCGGCAATCGAGGCAGCCAATTTCGAGATCAAACCCGCCATTGTCAACATGATGTCCAACCATCAATTTGGCGGGTCCAAGCAAGATGACCCTAGGGCCCACATGTTGTGGTTCACCCGAGCATGCCAAACGTTCCGCTTTAACGGAGTGACCTCCGACGCCGCAAAGTTGACCCTATTTCCCTTCTCATTACGGGATAGGGCATCTTTGTGGCTGAATAGCTTTCCAACGGGTCACTTCACAACATGGGCGGCACTGCACCAAGCATTCATGCAAGAATACTTTCCTCCATCGGCAGTTGCTAAAATTAAAACAGCAATCCAAAACTTTAGGCAATTCCCGATGGAGTCCTTAAGTGAAGCATGGGATCGTTTCAAGGATATGAGAAACAAATGTCCACTCACACTGATGGATTCTAGTAGCTTGATGTTCCATTTTTATAATGGACTTCAAGTTAGTAGCAAAAAAGAACTTGATTTCTCTTCTCAGGTAGGATCATTCCTTGACATGGCACCCAACACCAACGAAGCTCTGGTGGAGAAGGTCACTTCAAATGCAAGATACTGGTATGACGAAAGAACTCCAGCAGCAACAAAACCAGGCTATCTTGAAGTTGACCAACTCACGGCCCTAACAGCGAAGATTGAAGGATTGGTCGTGGAAGTGAAGAATTTGAAGAATGATAACAATCACACCAACCAAGTCAACAACATCGGTGCTGTCCCGAATCAACAATCATCCCGATACTTCGGGAACTCAAGCTCTGCTCCACAGTCATCTCAATTTAATACTTTTTCACCTGTTTCTCATTCAACTGAACTTGTACTCTCATGTGAGATATGTTTTGGTCCACATTTGACCAACTCATGTCAATTAGTCGATGAATGTAATGCAAACAACAACAGGGAAGTGAACATGCTGGAGTACGGCCGAACAAAACAAGAAGGGCCATGGGCGAATCAAGGCAACAGGGGGGGGTAACTCCAACTACCCTCCTCAGAATTTTCAAGGAAGGAATTACCAAGGTAACCAATGGCGGGGGGATTACAACAATGGTCCTCCTCGCGGCGGTTATCAAGGTAATCAAAATTACTCCAACAACAATCAAGGCAACAACTTCCAAGGTCGTAACCAGGGAGGTGCATCAAGCCAACAAAACAACCAAGCTTATGTGCCTCCCCACCAACGACAAACGGAGGCTGCCCAGCCATCAGAGATAGGCTTGCTGGTAGCAGAACTGGCAAGGACACGGGAGGAAATAACAAGATACAAGGCCAGCACTGATAATCAGATCAAAAATCTGATAATGCAAATTAATCAGAACAATGTTCCCGGTCGTCAGCCAGGCAACTTGCCTAGCACCACGGAACCAAACCCCCGTGAACATGTGCAAGCCATCACTCTCCGAAGCGGGAGACAAACAACCGTGGCTGAGCAGAAAGACAAGGAAGAGGAAGGTACCCCGACCATGGAACCTAAGAAACCAACTGATGCTCCAACTGAGAAGAGCATGGAACCAACACACCCTAACACAAGGGTCACTATCGTCAAACCTTCTCTCCCGTTTCCTTCACGGGTTAGAAATGATGACGATAGCAGGAAGTACAACAAATTCCTGGACCTACTCAAACAACTCCACGTCAACCTGCCGCTGATGGATGCCCTAGCGGAGATGCCCAAATATGCCAAGTTCTTCAAGGACTTGCTGACAAACAAAAGGCAGCTGCAGGAACTCTCAGTCGTGGACTTAAACGCAGAATGCTCGGCCGTGGTTCTAAGGTCAATACCCGAAAAGCTAAAGGATCCAGGTAGTTTCACTATCCCTTGCTCTATAGACAATTTCAACTTCAATAATGCTCTAGCTGACTTAGGGGCAAGTATCAATCTGATGCCTTCCTCTATAGTCGAGAAACTAGGACTTGGGGAAATGAAACCCACCAGGATGTGTCTTCAACTGGCTGATCGCTCAGTCAAATATCCGAAAGGAATTGTTGAAGACGTCTTGGTCAAGGTTGACAAATTCATTTTCCCAGTCGACTTTGTAGTAATGGACATGGAAGAGGATAGGGAAACACCTCTTATTCTGGGAAGGCCCTTTCTGGCTACCGCCAGGGCCTTGATTGATGTCACTGATGGCTCATTAACTCTAAGAGTCGGAGATGATCTTTGCACCTTCCGACTCTCAGATGTTATGAAACACCCCACAGATTCCTTTCAAGGATGTCATTTTCTTGATACCTTTGAGTCTATTGAAGGGTATCTGTTTGGGGAAGAAAATGGACATGTAACTGATGAAGCATGTCTGTTAAAAGAAGCCAACAGTGATGTGAGTGATGCATGTGAGAGTTGTGAGGATGCGCTGATTGATCAAGCTTCTAACGAAGTATTGACTGAGTTTGAGGGGGAGAAAAATGAACAAAACTTGAAAAACGACCATCCCCTCGAACTAAAGAAACTGCCCGACCACTTAGAATATGCATTCTTGGATGACGAAGGCAAATGCCCTGTCGTCATCGCCGCACACTTAAGTGAGGAACAAAGGGAGAAATTACTTGGAGTCCTTAAGACACACAAGCAAGCAATTGCTTGGAAACTTGAGGACATCAATGGAATTAGCCCCACCTTTTGTACCCACACCATCAAAATTGAGGAAGGGTTTAAACCAGTTGTCCAACCACAACGACGTCTAAACCCAAACATGATGGAAGTAGTGCGTGCCGAGATTGTCAAACTGCTGGATGCGGGTATCATTTACCCCATCTCTGATAGCCAGTGGGTAAGCCCTATTCATGTTGTCCCCAAAAAGGGGGGAATGACCGTCATGAAAAATGAAAAGGGCGAACTTCTACCCAGTCGAACTGTTACCGGGTGGCGAATGGTAATCGATTACCGCAAACTAAACGAAGCCACCCGGAAAGACCATTTTCCCCTTCCCTTCATCGATCAATTAATAGAGAGGTTGGCAGGCCATAGTCACTACTGTTTCCTGGATGGCATGAGTGGATACTTCCAAATCCATGTCAACCCGGAAGACCAAGACAAAACTACGTTTACATGCCCTTTTGGGACCTTTGCTTTTCGTAGGATGTCTTTCGGTCTCTGTAATGCTCCTGCCACCTTCATGAGGTGCATGATTGCCATTTTTGAAAAATACATTGGCCACTTCATGGAGGTATTCATGGATGACTTCTCTATTTTTGGGGAAACGTTTGAAAAATGCCTCGAAAACCTGGAAAAAGTACTTATCCGCTGCAAGGAAACCCATTTAGCCCTAAGTTGGGAGAAATGTCATTTCCTTGTGAAAGAGGGTATAGTACTTGGACATAAAGTGTCAAGTAACGGGGTAGAGGTGGACCGTGCAAAAATTGAGACAATAGAGAAACTTCCTCCACCAACCACGGTAAAAGCCATCCGCAGCTTCTTAGGACACGCGGGCTTTTATCGTCGTTTTATAAAGGATTTCTCTAAAATCGCAAAACCTCTCACCCGGTTACTTGAAAAAGATGCGGTTTTTATATTCTCTGATGAATGTCACCATGCTTTCCAAGCACTTAAAACACAACTGATCAATGCTCCTGTGCTTGTGGCCCCGGATTGGAGTTTACCCTTTGAACTCATGTGTGACGCTAGTGACTTAGTAGTAGGGGCCATCCTTGGTCAAAGGAAGGACAAGAACTTCCACCCAATCTACTACGCTAGCAAAACTCTGTCAGGGCCACAACTCAACTACACTACCACTGAAAAAGAATTCCTTGCTATTGTTTGTGCTTTAGAGAAGTTTAGGACTTACATCATTCTTTCGAAGGTTATTATCTATACCGACCATTCGGCCATTAGATATCTCCTCCAAAAGCATGATGCTAAGCCTAGACTGTTACGCTGGGTTCTTTTGTTGCAGGAATTTGATATTGAAATCAGGGACCGAAAAGGATCTGCTAATCAGGCAGCTGATCACCTCTCGAGGTTAGATGCCGAGTTAGCAGAAACTTTCGGAAAATGCGAAATTGAGGAGCTTTTTCCTGCTGAGAGACTGATGGCAATATCCGCCAAGGAACAAACACCGTGGTATGCCGACATTGCCAACTACCTTGTTGGTAAAGTCGAGCCTACCGAACTGACAAGGCACATGAAAAGGCGGTTCTTATCAGAAGCAAAGCACTATTTTTGGGATGATCCATATCTATTCCGAATTTGTGCTGACCAGGTGGTGAGAAGATGTGTTACTGAAGCTGAGGCAAGGGACATTCTGGAGCATTGTCACAGCGGCCCTACTGGGGGCCATTTCTCAGGGAATAGAACCGCAAGGCGGGTTTTGGACTGTGGGTACTTCTGGCCCACGATTTTTAAAGATGCTAATGAATTTGTTTCCTCTTGTGATAACTGTCAACGAATCGGGAACATTTCTGGGCGCAATGAGATGCCCCAACACTTTATCTTACCTTGTGAGGTATTTGATGTTTGGGGCATCGACTTTGTTGGACCTTTCCCAAGCTCAAGAGGAAACAAATACATTCTTGTGGCCATTGATTATGTTTCTAAATGGGTTGAAGTCCAGGCCTGTGTCACCAACGACTCTCGAGTAGTCGTGAATTTTCTGAAAAAGCTCTTTACCAGATTTGGTGTGCCTAGGGTTTTGATCAGCGATAGAGGGACTCATTTCCACAATGATCCAATGGCCAGAATTTTGGCCAAATATGGAGTCCAACATCGAAGCGGAGTAGCGTACCACCCCCAGACTCAGGGACAAGTGGAGAACGCTAACAGGGATTTGAAGTCCATTCTGGAGAAAACTGTTGCCCAGACCAGGAAAGACTGGTCAACTAAACTTGACGACGCTCTTTGGGCATTTCGGACTGCATACAAAACCCCGATCGGAACCACACCTTTTCGCCTTGTATACGGGAAGTCTTGCCACTTACCCGTCGAACTCGAGCATAAAGCACTTTGGGCGATGAAAAATGTTTGTTTTAAACTGGATGCTGCAGGGAAGGAACGATTTTACCAGCTGAATGAACTGGAAGAATGGAGAGCGCAAGCTTTTCATAATTCCAAACTTTACAAGGAACGAGCCAAACTCTACCATGATCAAAACATCAAAGCTCGTGATTTCAATGCTGGAGATAAAGTGCTGTTGTTCAACTCCCGGTTGAAGCTTTTTCCAGGAAAGCTTAAATCAAGATGGTCTGGACCGTTCAAGGTCATAAAAGCTTACCCCTACGGAACTGTTGAGATTGAAGATGCTAATGGGGCTCCCTTTAAAGTCAACGGCCACCAACTTAAACTCTACCATGGCGGCCCGATTGAAAAAAGCAAGGAGATTCTCTATCTCCAAAAATTTTGAACCAAGGGAGGACATTCGTCAAGCTAGTGACGTTAAAGAAGCGCTAATTGGGAGGCAACCCAACACACAAAAAAAAAAAAAAAAAAAAAACTAACCCAAAAATATTTTACTTTGTTTATTTCTTGCAGATGTCTGGAGGAAGACGTGACGATCCCATTTTCGAGGAGCCACCACTAGGACGGGAAGACCCGCCACCTCAGCCTGATATCCCATTTGCTACTATTGCTGATCGCAGACGCTTCCAGGCATGGGGGCAATACCGCACGCTCCTTCCTCCCATGATCCTGGACCCGACGATGCTAGAGGAATGGGGGTACTGGGATGAGATTGATTCCCTGCTAGGAGACTCTTTATGGCGGAGGATTCTATTCGTCCAGGAGAGGGCCAGCCTTCCATTGACGATGGAGTTTCTGTGCTCCGTTCAGTTCACTCATTACGGACAGGCTGTGCAGGAGGGTGCTGTTATTGGGTCAGAGTCTCGGATGAGGTTTACTATTCTAGGCATGGAGCACTCCATCACTGTGGCTGAGCTCGGATGGAGGATGGGGCTCTATACCCCAGCATACACACAGACTGAGGAGTTCCGTGCTCTTCCGACCCGCTTACCCGAGGCATTTGACATTGATGAGTTCTGGCACAGACACTCCACAGACACCAGATCATTTCTCCGGATGCACCCCCATTCGAACAAATGGAGGGCGACTCACTGGTACATACTCTCGTTCGTACTTTCTTGTGGTTTTTTTGGACGACCTAACAACACAAACAGGTTGTCCAAAAAGGACATACTATTCTTTTGGAGTTTAATTCACCGCATCCCGGTGAATATGGCTGTCCTTATGGCTCGTTTCTTCCGGAGCCAGGGGAAGACTGTGCGGCGCACTATCCAGGCAGGGCCTTTCATCACTACTCTCGTTAGATCATTCTACCCAGATCTAGACATTCCAGGGCTACGGCACTTACAGGATAGCATCCGCGTTCTTCGATCCTCATCCTTTACCAACATGAGGATCAAGAAGAAGCGGAATACTCAGGAGCTCCCAGGTATTGAGCAGCCGACCCAGCAGGGTAGTTCTTCTCGACATGAGGGATCTAGCGAGCCCTTTTCAGACATGCCTAGCGCCGCAGATTGGAGAGCGATGATGGATGGGATGCGGACTCTCCAGACCTCAGTCTCAGAGATGCGGGTTGCACAGGACAGAGGATTCCAGGAGATACGAGAGGCGCATGAGTCGGCCCTGGGAGAGTTCAGAGACTTTCGATTAGCTCAGGAGAGAGCCACCCAGGATATGCAGGCGGAGCTAGAGACCCAGAGGCTAGATATTGATGAGATGAGAGACTGGCTTAGGCCACACTATGGCCCTCGGGATTACGCAGGCGATGCTTAGTTTTGCTTCTTCCTTGACATATTTTTTTATTGTGTTTGTTTGTTTCTTCAGGTTGGACATTGCGCTGCTCTTTTGACTTGAATGCTCTTACAAACTGACTATGGATGATGTAAGGATTTTAAAAAACCATTTTACTCCTGTTTCATTATTCCTCTTCACAAAATCTTTTCAAAACTCAAGTGTGAGGAAAGAACCAAAAAAAAAAAAAAATGTGCCTTTATTTCCCAGTTTTGTGCCTCAAAAGAAGACCTCGAGGGCGAGGTCCAGCTCAAGTGTGAGGAGGTTGCGTTTTACACTCAAAAGCTAAAACCTTATTTTAGAACAATCTTTTTACTATTTTTGACATGAAACATTAATTTCTCAATTTGTTATCAATCTCATAAATAGCTTAGATAATCACCCTTATTATAAGAATTTACTTTTATTATTATTTAGAAAACTTGAATTTGTTATGGGTTTTTGGTTGTGAATGTAAAGGGCTGAATTTGTTTTAATTGGACATTCATTTTATTCATTAAAACAAAAATGTTAGTATTAATAAAACTCCAAAACTCATTGTTATAGGACAATTCCATCTCCGAAAAGGGGCTCTGTTTCATTCGTTAATCACAGTCTGTGAGAATGAAATATGCATTTACCATGGGATAACACCGCCAACAAGAGTGAAAAAGAGCAAAAAAAAAAAAAATAAAAAAAAAAAAAAAAATGGTGAACAAGATGAATGTCCCAATTAGAATAATGAAAACCTTGGGATAAGGAATTGATTGGTGGTTTAACATAATAAATAGTTTTTCTTAAGTAATACTAATTTTAAACTCTTGTATTTTGGGTGATTTTTCTAAAATGTTTAAAGATTGAGAATAAAAAGAAGAGGTTTTTGTTTCTACTTCTTTAAAATAGCAATTAGATTGTAATACAGTTAGACTTTACCTTTTGAGTGTGTTTACAACTAATTCGTCGCTTGAGGACAAGCAACGCTTAAGTGTGAGGAGATTGATAAGTCCATTTTTGTACTTATTTTTCTTATCAAATTTAAGCGATTTTTGAATAAAAATAGAAAGAAAAGGCATGTTTTAGATATTTTGGTTCGAGTTTCATGAAATCAGGTAAAAATCACATCCATAATATGTTTAGCGGGATTTCGGGTCAATTGAGCACAAAATGAGCCAATTTGGACAACAAATGATATCATACCAAAAGAAGGAAACATTATTTCAAAGTGGTCCAGAAGACAATATTGAAGAGCACAAAACAAGGAACAAGCCGGACAAAGAATCTCATAGGCGCCCAAACAGGCGGCCAAAACGAAGGCCTTCGCGGCCGCCTACGGTATTTTTGGAAAGTCAAACTTTGACTTTGACCGGATTCGGAAAAGACCGTAGGCCGCCGACACTGGACGGAAGGCGGCCGCCTACGGTGACCGCCTGCGGCAGAAGACGACGAAGCAACCACCGGCCGGTGGGATTTGACGGCAGGCGGCCAGACAGGAACGGCAGGCGGCCGCCTGCTGGACCGCCTGCGGCGGCCGGGATCCGCCGGGATCCGCCGGGATCCGATTTGACAGTGAAAAGACGGCAGGCGGCCGATGGGTGACGGAAGGCGGCCGCCCTCTGTGGCCGCCTACGGCTGACGGAGACCAGCCCACGTGTCGTTGCCAGCGAGCTGACGGCAGGCGGCCAGTTGCTGCCGGAAGGCGGCCGCCTGCCCGGGCGCCTTCGGGGAAATTTTTCCTATAAATTTCCCGATTTTTCCTCAACTCAAAAACACCTCTTCCAACCCTAAATCAGTTCAAAACACCTTCTTTCTTCCTCCATTTTCGAGCTCCAAAGGGTTTAGAGAGAGAGAAACTTCAAATCTTCATATCTTCTTCATTTTAGCTCCAAATTGTAAGTTCTTTATATGTATTTTCATCTTCTCAACGAGTAGAATCTGAATCTGCACTTTGTTTGTTCAATCTGTTCTTCGAAAATTTCCAGATTATTTTTCAAGTATTTCGCATTTCCTTCCAAAAATTAAATAAAATAGTTATTGTTGTTGAATTCATTCCAATTAATTATATAGTTGTTCACTAGCCTCAAGGTAGTTATTTATCTGAAGAAATTAATTTTTCACGAAGCATAAGTAATTTTTAATTAATTTTGGTAATTAATTGATATTAGTTCATAATTTAGATTAAATACTAGAAAAAAAGAAAAAAAAATGAGTCCGGCCCTATTTACAGTTTAATTAACTTAAGTATCATTACTAGTAGTTAATATAAAATTTGGTACGAATTTAGAGTTTTTTTATTAATTTCGGTAATTACTTTATATTATTGCTTAAGTCAAAATAAATACTAAAAAAGAAAAAAAAATTAGTTCGGCCTTAATTTCAGTTTGATTCATAGTAATATCACTCCCAGTAGCTAAAATAAAATTTATAACGAAGTTAGCATATTTTTAGTTGCTTTTTGCATTTTCTAGTTAAAATTGGGAAAGTTATCAATTAGTTATCAAAAATTGGATTTTAGGTTCAAAAATTTGTGAAAAATTCCAGAAAGTTATATTTTAGTTCCTACAAGTTTATTGTTCCAGAATATAATTTTTGTTTAATGTTTGCTATCATACATGTTTAATTCCTTGTTAATGTTGAATTTAATCATTATATTGTTAATTGCAAAAATGGTGATGAGTAGCTAAATTTGTTAGGGCATGAATTGAGAAAAGGAATATGGATTGACTTGTTGACCTAAAATTAGGGGTTAAAATTAATAAATTGGACTAGTTGTTTGAAATGATGAAATAGTAATTAATAATAGTTAGCCATTTTCATTAATTAAATTCTTGGAAAATTAATTCTAACTTGTCTATGAGATTAGAAATTAATTTAAGCCAACCATATTTGAGCACATTAATAAGGCCTAGAAATAGGATAATTTAATGAAAAGGATTTACATCTTGTCTATGAGAAATAAATTCAATTGCTAAAATAAAGAGTTTAACTAGTTAATGAATTTGGCTATTTTTATTAATTAAAATATTGGAAAATTATTTCTACCTTGTCTATGGGTTTAGAAAATAATTTAAGCCAACCATTTTAAACACATTAATGATACCTAGAAATAGGATAAATTAATGAAGATAGTTTCTATTCTTGTCTATGAGGAAAGAAATTATTAGTCCAACTTTAGTCTTAATTTCCCTAATTAAGAGGTCCAAGAACATATCCATTTCTAATTACTCAATTCATTGCCCTTATTTGCATCCTTGCATATTCAATCTTTATACATTAATCTTTAAATCGCACTTTGCTCCTAGTTATAATTTAGCATAATATAGAACAAAATCACTTTCCTATATTGAAAAAGCTTCCAACGATTAGCGATAGCCCGTGACTAAAATTAAATTAAGAAACTTCTCCGCCATTCCTCAAGAGACACGACACTCGGGGAAAAACCGAAAGGTTATACTCCGTTTTACTACAACGCCGCGAAAGCGGTTATCAACTCTCTCTAAGCTCCCCCCTCGAAAACGGGGTTTACAGGCTATTTAAATAGGAAAAACGGAACAAATTCGGGCGAAATTAGGATTCCAGGGGCAACGCACGGGGCCAACGCACGGCGTGCGTCCCGCAGTGCGTCCGGAGCATAGCCGCGTAAAAATATGGAACGCACGGCGTGTGTTGGTCCCAGATTATGCAGACTAACACACAGCTAGATGGATTTCATCGACACACAGAAAGAGAGAAGATCTGATAATGATGAAGCAATATCGAGAACAAGGAAATTCTTCTTTCTGTTGTATCGAGAAGTAAATTTGGCAGCGTAAGGCTAATGTGTATTAATCGATATCGGTACCTGTACACAAGGCGCGTATTTATAGACGCTGTATAGGTTACCGATTTAGGTAAACCTTGGAAGTTGGGCCAAGGCCTTTTTGGGCCTTATTCCCTTTACCTTATTTGCTACATAATAAATACTAATCTAATACCATAAATGGTATAACTAGTCTACTTTATTTAAACAAGACATTACAGACAAACTTGACCCACAATAAAAGTTCTAACAATCTCCCCCTTTGTGGTCAAGTGCCGTCTTGCTGGGTTTCTTCACTTCTGAGCTTTGTAATAGTTCTTTCTGAGATTAAGAGCATGCTCATAGCTCCTAAGTGAATTTCTTTTATCAAGTTGTTTCTGGATAGCCTGTAGAATTCTGTCTATTCTGTGTGCTTCCTTTATTTCAGCATCTGTCGCATCTGCATACTGTTGCTGTCTTTCTTTGAATGCTTCTCTGATCGGTTGCAGCTTTTCCTTCACAATCTTCAGGGTTCCGTCACAGTACTTGTTGATTTCATCAATGAATAGCATACGTTTCTCACCATTATGATTTAGATAGATAAGCGTGATTGGTCTATCAAAAATGTAATACTCAGGGAAGTCCTCGAGTTCGTGTCCATACAGCTTTGGTTTTGTGAGATTTGTCTTCGGCATGTTTGTTTCAAGCGCCATCTGAAGATCATGAGAGGCAAAGAATTTGATTTGTCTGAGCATAAAGCGCTTGAGTGCATCCAGCCCATTTTGTGTAGTTGTGTCACGAGTGCCCGGAATTTCTTGAAATGCAAGATACATCTGATATATGTCATCCATTTTTAGCATATAGAGATCATTTTCCTTGCACGTGAATTCTGTTCCGTCAGACCGTTGTAGATGGTAGACAGAGAGTTTGATGTCTTGGGAGTTTGTTTCACCCACGTTGAGAATAGCCCAGACTGGGTCTTTGGCAGTTTGAAGTTCGTGCTGCCAGACTTCTCTCAGTTGTCCCATATAGTGATGACTGAGTAGAAATAGCTGTCCGCCCTTGTTTTGTCCTCGTAGATGGTTAAGACCACAGATCTTCAGTTCATCCAGTTCTCTGACCTTATCCTCTTTTCGCCAGATGTTTTCTCTGATTTCTTCTTGAAAGGGGGCGTTGATGTCGATCTTTTCCCAGGGCTTCTCATTTATGGGCATTTGAGCCGTTGTTTGTCTAATGATCGACTCAAGCTCCTTGGGTGGTGTCTCGTAGTTTTCTCCCTCCTTGAGTTCGTTTTGATCAAGTAGAATCACGTCAGTAGCACAGTTCACTAAGAGATCTCTGAGGTATGCTCTTCGCTGTGCTTCATCTACATCTGTCCAGAGTTCAGACCATTTGTTATGCACCAGCATTTCCTCAAGTTCATCGTGCATTTGATCATTGTAGTAGCTGGAGGAAGCCTGTTGCTGCTGTGGCGACACGTCTGGCGTAGCATCGGGATCCTGGTGAGACTTGCAGGGATCCTCAATTATCTCAACACGATGCTCTTGCGCAGAGACCAGACCTCTATACTTTGTTACATGCGGCCAATCCTCCCTTGGTTGAGAATGGGTGACTCCGGGATCCTCAGGATTGCCCGTTGACATCAGTTTCGAACTAGGTTCTAGCTGATGGCCTGAGTAAGAAGATGTACTCGTGGTAGCATCATCAGGACTTCCATTCCGTCCTTGGTCAACATCTATAGGAGATGCACCTCGGGATGTTATGTCTAGCTCGACCATGCTAGAGAGAGTGGCTAGGGATTTATGGCTGGCTGAAGTAGTGGGTTGCTCATTGGTAGAGGTGGAGGGTTGGTTTGGCTTTGAGGGTTGGCTAGTAGAAGCAACATGCTCAAGTATCCGCGGGCGCTTGTTCTCCCCCTCATGAGAATCCGAATCATCAGGATCCTCATGTGAACGTTTAGCGCCACGGAGACTGTCACGGCATGTGTTCTGTGTATCTAGAGCATGGAGAAGGGTTTTTTGAAGAGGGGTGAGGTTGCCTTCTTCCACGTCTAGTATACGGTCGTAGATCTCAGCTACAAGATCCTCGAAGGGTACGGTTGTTAGGTTGGGTTTGGTCGTTGTAGGGGAGAATACTAGTTCTGTATCCTGGGTTCCCCTTGATGTGGATGGTTGTTGGTTTTCTATGGCTAAAGGTTTGGAAATAGGAATGGAAATGGTTGGGGGCTGTGTTGTTTGAGGTTTGGGTGGTATATCCTGAACAACTGGGGTACTTCCAGAGTCTTGTGCATTAGCGGTTATTGCTTCATGCACCCATGGCTTAATGGTAGACTCTAGAAAGCTATTCAGATATACGAGAATGTCTTCGGGGATAATGGTACCAGTTACAGGGGTTGTAACTGTTGT